CCAGAACCCGGGGAAGGGCAATTTCATAGATGACTCCTGAATTCCATTTTGTAGTCAGCTGCACTACAGTCAGAAATACCTTCCGGCAAAGCCTTTTTCTGAAGTGACTTGAACCCACTTCTCGGCTTCCCTACCCAACACTGGTGACGCCATTGCTCTTGTGAAGCAAACAGTTCAGAAAAGACCCTTCACAAAGCCTGCCTGTGGGTGTTTTGAGAGGAGAGCTGCTGCCCTCCCAGACCTCCTAACCCCGCCAGAAATGGCATCTTTGCAACTGAATCATCCAGAGGTTTAATACCGTTTTCCATAACAGGCCAACTAACCATACACATAGTACCCGCTTAAGTCATTAATCTTGAGCCCCTGTTCCCCGTGCATTTAAACATGCCTTGGATGGCTAGTACAGAGCAGCAAACCGTGTAACTGCCTTGTGTAAAACCACATGGATAACTTTTCTCACCCCTCAAGTTCAGAATATGTGATTTTTTAAAAACCAGGGCAGCCATCTTTTATGAATTCTTAAGTAATTGACATGATGGACACTTGAAAGAGCAATGCCAGTGGGTGATGACCAGCACCTTTGGCTTCTCAACGTATTTGCCTTTGCCACAGTATCTTGCTGAATAATTTTACAGAACTCGCTAGGCATGCATCATAAACATACACATATATGGGCAATTTGGTGAAATGTAAGTGCCTTTGTCAATCCGTAGGCACAGAGGGGAGTACTAGGGCGTAGGGCTGTGATTAAAGTGAGTGTGCCTGGCTCCGGGGGAGGCTGGGACCTGGCTAATCCCTCCCTAGGTCTGGGGGAGAGGTAAAGGGGCTGGAAGAAGGAGCCTGATGTTTAACGTGATGGAGAGATAAAGAAGCTGTGTGATCAGATGGCCATGGGGTGTGCTGGGAAGGATTTATGGGGGTATGAAATTGGCTCCATCCCTGAAGTAAGAGGGGACGGGCAGAGGGTCACAGATGGCAGGCGGAAAGGAACCTTTCCCTCTGCAGGTGTGCCCGCAGGGCCATCCATCCTGGTTTTTTTATGACTCTGTCTGCTGCTGAGGCTGGTGGTCTCAGGTGCTGTCCCCTAAGGTGCCTGACAGCTGGCAAGGCCCACTCTATGCAAACTTACTCTTCAGTGGGCAGGGGTATGTGGTTTAGAGACCCACCTTTGTGATTAAAGCGAGCCTTCCAGCAAAAGCAGTGAGCTGCAGCTTCCCAAGCCACTGTGGCTCAGACACGTGGCCTCTATCACTGCCTTTAACCAGCCGGGTGGATTCTGTCTTCCTTTTTAAAACAACAAAACAAAAAACAATGAATTGCAAAGAAATGTCCTCAGCAACTGAGGAGGTCTGCCAGTGCTGACCAGCCTGGCCTGAGAGCACACATCCTCCACAGGACAAGAAGCAGCTCGTCACAACTTCCTGCAGTTCCTTTGTTCACTTCTGGCCTGCTCCAAATCTGAGTAAAATCGTCATGGCCATTTTGAAATCGTTTTCTTTGCATTCCAATCCTGCCATAGGTTGGTACCTGCCTGCTTTTCATTGAGTGAGTGTAGGACAAACTAGTCAGCATGTTGGGATCGTAAGGGGTTTTTCTTAAGAAACCACGTTTAAATGGGAAGGTCCCCAGTCTGGCCAGTTTGGCTCAGTGTCATTGGTAATGGACTGGCTGCTTGGGCCCTTTAACTCTCATTCTGACCTGGCTTCATTCGGCTGATGTGGGGGCCACATCCAAAGTTTGAAAGTCTTTTCCTGCACATGCTGCAATAATTGCCATTTTTGGGAGCTCTTCCTTCCTTCCTTCCTTCCTTCCTTCCTTCCTTCCTTCCTTCCTTCCTTCCTTCCTTCCTTCCTTCCTATCATATCTCAGTTAAGCTATTGTAGTTTATAAACAAATGAGAATTGATAGAAGGACTTTGTTGGTTTCAATTTTTTAAAAAACCTATTCATATTACATATTCAGTCCATTGATCCTACAACCTATTGACAGGCTAGATACCATTGTAGGTCCTAGGGATGTAGTGGTGGGGAAAATGGCAAAGTCCCCACCCTTACTTAGTTTTACCCTGATGGGCAAATAGTTACAGGGCCAGTAGTGTGAGGCGATTTAGGAGAGGTGGGGGTTGGGGTTGCTTATATAGATGTCGGGAAAGAACTCTCTAATGGAATATGTTGTGCAGAGACTCAAGCGAAACAGGATATACATGATTGATATGTGGAGAGAAAGGTGAGAAATGAGATGAGAAGAGAGGACAGCTGCAAGGCCCTGAAGCAGGAATGTGGATGGGAAGCAAGAACGCGCTCAGGATGTCAGTAGTAGGCTATGGATCTGAGCTGTTAGTACACATGATGAAGTCTGACTAACCTTTCTGTTTTGGGGGAAGGTGGAGAAACATGGACACAGGATGCCAATCAGGGCGCAGAACAGGACAGCCACAATGTTAAACATAGAGGATAGGCAGTGGTAGCACACACCTTTAATCCCAGCATTCCAGAGGCAGAAATCCCTCTGGATCTCTGTGAGTTCAAGGCCACATTGGAAACAGCCAGGCATGGTGACACACACCTTTAATCCCAAGAAGTGAGTCTTTAATCCCAAGGAGTAATGGCAGAAAGCAGAAAGATATATAAGGCATGGAGACCAGAAACTAGAAGCATTTGGCTGGTTAAGCTTTCAGGTTTCTAGCAGCAGTTCAGCTGAGATCCATCCTGGATGAGGACTCAGAGGCTTCTAGTCTGAGGAAACAGGACCAGCTGAGGAACTGGCAAGGCGAGGTAGCTGTGGTTTGTTCTGCTTTTCTGATCCTCCAGCATTCACCCCAATACCTGGCCTCAGGTTTGATTTTATTAATAAGTACCTTGTAAGATTCCTGCTACAGGGCACCACTGCAGTAGCCTCAGGACAAGGGATGACCAGTAGGGTCAGCATAGAGAGTATGGGGTAATAAAAAAGGTATCTGGCCATAAGAAGGGAGAACCCCAAAAGGGTGGGAAGACCTTGGGAAGGAAGAGTTCTACCTGACATGTATTGCTTGAGATGGCTTAGACACCTAAGCAGAGACATGTTGTCATCGGTCTCGATCTTGGTAGGTAGGAGGTAATACAGGCATTGTTGTGTGAATACAGGCATTGTTGGCGTAGAGCCATGTTGAGGTGGAGGAACGGGGAGCGGTTCAGACAGTGTGACAGGAGAGGCTGTGCAGACATGGCAGCCATGAGGGCAGATCTCAGCTGACTGGGTTGGTTTTCCCAACAACGTGAAGACATCCGTCACCTTAGAACCGGGAATCGGGAGGCTCTCTGAAGTCACTGGGCAGAGGGCAAATGTGGCGGAGTGCTCCACTTACGGTCCTCCGTGCCTGCAGCTCAGAACAAGCCCTGTGAACAGAGTGCACTGGGGTTTCCCTTTGACCTGATGCAGCAGCCTGAGTAGAGAGGTCGAGAGTGGGGTGCAGGGGTGTAGAGGGCGGGGCAGGAAGAGCTAGTCCGCAGCAGACCCCTGGCCCCAGTGGAGAGAAGAGCTCTAGAGCCTGGGGGAGGGAACCGTGAGAGCGGTAAGTGGTGGTTGGAGAATAGAGGCTTACAAGTTGATGTTGGTGATGGCTCACACCGGCATGTAATCGAGGCTATGGAAACAGAATCGGCCTCGTCTGTGTAGTATGAGATCAACCTAGGCTTCATGAGACTGTCCGAAAGAAGAAAGTGAGTGAGGTTTGGAGGTAGTGCCCATGTTGCTGGTAAACTCAGGGGTTGACTTGGTGTGCTGGGCATGGAGAGCTGTGGTTGGGTGCAAAGACCTTGTAGAGAAGAGTCCCAGAAGCAAGATGCAGAGTATCGGAACAATCCTCCTCGGGGGCATTGGGGATGAAACTGGGCTGTTTGCAGAGGGGTGGGGCGGTTTTCCTTGCCTGTAAAGTCTTCATGGAATGGGGTTGGGGTGGGGTGCAGAACCCAGAGTTGAAGAAAACTGAAGGCAGGTAGAGAACGGTCTAGTAACACACAAGTCCCTTGCAGACCAGGGCAAGGATGGGTTTGCCTGAGAGGTCCGCCAAAAGGACTTCTGTGTGGGACAAGACGTTGCCTGGGTGTGGGAAGGCAGTGAAGTCACAGCAGCAGGTCACAGAACGTCTAGGTGAGAGGTGAACAGGAGACAGGGTGTCTCTGAGATGGTGGCATCTGTCCCTGAGTGCTGAGGTGGAACTCCAGAACAAAGGGGCTCCCCAACTGTTGTGATTGCTCCCCTCAACTCTGGCACAGTGCCTGCCTGACATCCAGAAGATGGGAATGTGTGTTCTAATGGGTCAAACAAACAAAGAATTGTATGCAACAAAAGAAAATACCAAGTGAGAATTTAATTTCCCTCAAACCAACAAGGCAAAGAAACTGAAGGTGGTCTTTGGAGAAAAAACAGTTTTTGTCAACAGTACAGTAGAGCTTAGGGCGAAATCTTGTATTTAGACCAAGGAAAAGGAAGTCATAAGCAAAGGTTACAGGTGTGGAGAGGTGAGTTGACGTCTCCCGCCTACAGAAGTGGTGCATGAGATGGGGACTTTGTAATGTAGAAGTGGATTATTATATTGCTTGCTGAATAGGATTCTTCATAAAATGTTAAAGCTTGGTCATTTATTGTAAACTGAGTTTCAGTGATTAAAGTCGTAACATCCTTTTAAGTTAATAGGCCTGACGTTCCGACTCTGACATCAAATTCTAGAGATTAGCTTATTCATTCAGTGAATATTTATCACCCAGAAACTGGAGAACAGTATGCCTGTGTGTATCTTCAGAGACTCGGAAGTAAAATGTGGTAATTAGTGGGTGTCTCTCTGAAGATGGACTTTTATATTGTATTACATGTTGCTTTACTAAATGTCAAGATGGGCTCGCATTCCGGGCTGATGTCAGCCATATTTCTGCGCACCAACCAAGAGCAGTGTCTTGCCCCGGGAAGCGTGCTCTGCGGCTGCCAGACTGTTGTCATGCCCCTTCTTGTTGTCGTTTTAGTGACAGCTATATTGTGCGCGTCAAGGCTGTGGTTATGACCAGAGATGACTCCAGCGGGGGATGGTTCCCACAGGAAGGAGGCGGGATCAGTCGCGTTGGGGTGTGTAAGGTCATGCACCCTGAAGGCAATGGACGAAGCGGCTTTCTCATCCATGGTGAACGACAGAAAGACAAACTGGTAATGACAGACACACACCGCGGGAGTTAACATAGCAGTGACTGATTTCTTTATATAAGTTACAGCCCTTTTCCCCCCTTTTATATTTTTAATATAGCCTTCCCTTTCCAGTGCAGCCCCTTGGCCACATACAGAATGCATGTCACAAGGGTGTTTGACTGTCTTGTTTCCATCTTTCATTAATTAAGGTGTGCCATTGTAACAGGTGTGTAAGGCAAAAGCCTGTTCTTTATTATTACAAGTCATATAACAACAAACTGTGGAATCGGGGTTTTCCACGTGAGAGGTGGGTGGGAGCAAGTTAACATGTGAGACAGTATCACCTAGCATCATCACCTATTCCTTCTAAATAAATCTTTGTCTGAAAGATACCAGAGCCTGGGGTTAGGGAGGTGGCCCAGAGTGTTTGCTATGCAAGTTTGGATACCTGAGTTTGGATTCCTGTAGCCACATAAAACACGGTGGCCATGCAGGCCTGTAACCCCAGCACTGTGGGAGACTGAGACAGGAGGATCACCAGGGCTTACAGACCCGACCTTGTCTCCAGGATCAGTGAGGCACCCCGTCTCAGGAATGGTGAAGGGTGGGGAAGCAGGGTCCCTGACATCCTCCTCTGGCCTCCACTCACAAAAGTGTACATACACCACACAAACACATCCAGCTTTTATCTCGTGAGTAATTAAGAAAGCGTCCGTGGTGGAAGGAAATCATGAAGAACAGTAGCATGACACTTCTGTAAGTAACTGTGCGTGCTCAGAAACAAGTACATGGGACAGTGAATCTTACCCAAGGGCGGGATTACATGAAGTCCTATGGAGGAACCTGGATGGCCAGTTACACCACAGTTTATGATGGGAGGAAGGTGGACCATCCAAGTCCAGTTTATTCTTTTTGCAGGGTGCCAGAGCTCAAACCTAGGACCTCATGCATGCTAAGCATGTGCTTTAACACTGAACCACACCCCCAGTCCAAGCTAGTCACCTTTCCTTACTCTCTGCTCAGGATTGAACCCAGAGCCTTGAATATGCTAGGCGAGCACTTTCTCTGTAAAGTGCTGTGTGTCCCCAGTTCTGAGTCTCTAAACATAGTTTACTTTCTACTGTGTGTGTAAGTATATGTTCAAAATCTACAGAGACAATGTGATGGATTGTATAAGATCTCCCAGAGAAAATGCACATGGCTCCACACATGTTGGTGTTACATTTGAGACCCTGGGCACGTTTTATGTGTGAAATGTGTAGATATTCTTTTTTTGTTTTTTTCAACCACTTCTTATGGTTGAAGAAAATTACCAAGTAGATAAGACAGAATAGTTTGTAAGTATCACAAATAAATGAACTGAAATGCCACTTTACACTTAATTCATTCCGAAAATGAATGAAAATCTCTCCCAGTGTAGGCAGTGTGACCACACTATAAAGAAAAGGAAGTGCCGGGTGTGTGGTGGTACACACCTTTAATCTTAGCACTTGGGAGGCTGAGGCAGGCAGGCAGATCTCTGTAAGTTCAAGGCCAGCCTGATTTACACACAAGCTCCAGGCCAGTCTGTATAGTGAGACCCTTACACACACACACACACACACACACACACACACACACACACACACACACACACACACACGAAAAAGAAGAGTTTAGAAAAAAGTGGCTTGCTACTGTGTGCTGGCATGTACTTCTAGCTGGCACAGGGTTAGCCCATTAGTTAGGTGATGCCCCGGGAATGAATTCTTGTTCTTTGATCCCCAAACCAAAGCAGAGTCCCAACACACAGCGTATCTTCACGTGCCTTTTGTCAGTTTGTAAAGAGCTTTGTGTCTCACTTGCCTGTCACTACATTGTCTTTAAGAACGTTCCCATCTTGCTCACACTAATGTGATGTGATATTAGACCATCTCCTTAGTGTCTGGTCCCCCGTCCCCCATCACCATAACATTAGGAAAGCATATTTAACTGCATTTTCCACATTTCATGTTTTTTAAGAAATAATTTGGAGCCGGGCAGTGGTGGTGCACGCCTTTAATCCCAGCACTCTGGAGGCAGAAGCAGGCGGATCTTTGAGTTCTGAGTTCAAGGACAACCAGGACTACTCAGAGAAACCCTGTTTTAAAAAAAAAGGAAGAAAGAATGAATGAATGAATGAATGAATGAATGAATGAATTTGGAGCCTGATTTTCACAACCTTTAGTGCCTAGGGGTGCTGCTGCTCTGTGAGATTTTCCTTTAACATTTTGAGGTCATATGTTTTAAATCTCTGTCATTTTGATAGAATGGCAGTGGTCTCCATTGATTACTTATGAGTGACCTCATGTCGTTTCCTGCTTGTTAAAAAAGTGTAACCAGCAGTCAGGCAGCCGATGGCTCAGTGTCCGAGGGCACAAGCAGCTCAGCCTAATGGCCTGAGTTCAATCCCTGGGACCCACAGAGTAGGAGAGAACAGACGCTTGTAGATTCTCCTCTGACCTCCATTCCTCACACACAGGCACATACAAAACTAAGTGTGGTTCTGTTCTACTTCATCGTAACCGAATTATCTGCCAGTGTCCTTTTCGTGTTGATCGACTGGAACTTACTCTTCATATGTGTGTCCTGCCCTTTCCTCACCTGCCTTATTTACCGATGATAGAGTTTAATAATTTGTTTCTTGCCGGGCGGTGGTGGCGCACGCCTTTAATCCCAGCACTCGGGAGGCAGAGCCAGGCGGATCTCTGTGAGTTCGAGGCCAGCCTGGGCTACCAAGTGAGTCCCAGGAAAGGCGCAAAGCTACACAGAGAAACCCTGTCTCGAAAAACCAAAAAAAAAAATAAAAAAAATAAATAAATTTGTTTCTTGTCTTTTTCTGCTTTCATCAGTATTCTTATTCTGCAGAACTTTGGTAGAGAGTCTTTCCTTTGTACCCCCCTTTCTAGTCTGCTTGGAGACTGTCTTCACGTGAAGGGTTCTATACACTTAGGGCTATTTCTGATTTGTTGTAGATTGTCAACCTAGAATAGTCTCCGTTTCTGGCTTTTTGAGATAGGCTCTCCCATAGCCCAAACTGGCTTTGTAGCCAAGGATGACCTTGACCTCCTAATCCTCCTTCTCCCAGGTTCTGGGATTACAGGCGTGTGCCGCCACACCCAGCTTTGGTGAGACTGTCAGCCCCAGCCCCTGCCTTTCAAACTGCAGTGTGAATTTGTGTCTTCCCAGTGACTTATACATAGTAACTACAAATGTTTTCCTTTTGGTCCAAGGAAACCTCTGTTATGTTCATGTCACATCTGAAAGGGGAAGAAACCGTCTCCACATTCTAGTAGTGCATTGCTTCCCGAGTCCAGCATGGGCCACTTTCTCTGTGTCCACCTCCCATGGGATTGTGGGCCAGCCTCTGATTGCTTCTGATGATGCCATCAGGTGATGGGATGATGCCATCTTCCAGGTGTACCTTTACCCACCTTCAGGTTTCTGCATCTCTCCATCCCTCTTCCTGCTCCCTTTGCTGTCACTCTGGACTTGGGTACCTGGTGGCGTTTAAATCACACACCCGCACACCTGCTTGTGCTTTGTCTTTGTAACCCCACGCTGTCTGTCTCACTCGGGGAAACTCTGGATTCCATCCCCACTCCCACACCACTGGCAGATACAGTGGCATCTCTTTGATCTCCCTACTCCATAAGGCAATGCTTCTGCCCGCTGGAGCCCATGAGCCTGGAGGAGTTCTGAAAGGGGGCAGGTGGTTGGAGGAAGTCCCTTTAAAGGTGAGGGGACTCAGAGGTGGTGCTTGGCTGAGCTTGAGATGGAGGCCTAATTCCCCGTATTTCAGCTGGGCACGAGGTGCTTTTTCATAGGAGTGTGTGGGGGAGTTGTTCCAGGTAATAGAGTTCTAGAAGTCAGCACATTTTGTCTGTGTGTGTGTGTGTGTGTGTGTGTGTGTGTGTGTGTGCGCGCGCGCGCTCGTGCAGCGCACTCTGTATTGGAGCCTGTGAGTTTAACTGACATTGCTCCTACATAAACCCATTCATAAGCTGTCAAAGAATTTTTGGTAATAGGGAAAATCAAGTTGTCCCGAGAATTATATGTAAACTCACACTTGGCGGCTCTGCTGGCCCGAAACTCATGCTATGGTCCAGGCTGACCTCAACCCCAGGTTTGATCATCCTCGCTCCACCTCCCAAATGCTTGGGTAAGAAACTGTGTTGAGATCACAGGTCTGTGCCCCCCATACCTGCCCCTTTTCTTATGATTGTGGTGTTCTCCCTAGATTATATGTCAGAACCCAACCAGTAACACGGTCTTTCTTTCCTTTGTTTTTTGTTTTGGTTTGGTTATTGGAGACAGGGTTTCTCTCTGTAGTCCTGATTGTCCTAGAGACTCACCAGGCTCTGCCACCCGAGCCCTGGGATTAAAGGTGCGTGCCACCACTGCCTGGCGGGTGCCTGGCGGCCGACTGGCAACCTAGATTTTTAAGACAGGGATTCAGGTAGTCCAGGCTGGCCCAAACTCTTAGGTGAGGATGACCTTGACCTTCTGATCCTCCTGCCTCGTCTCCCAAGAGTACAGGCATGTGCCACTGTGCCCAGTTTATCTGATGCTGGGGACCTGGGGCTTCTTGGATGATAGGAAAGCCTCCTTCAGACTAAGCTACGTCCCAGCCCACGCCTTTTTTTCATGCTGCCTTCCGTAAAACTGCTGTTTAATCCTTCACCTTGAGTGAATGCCTTACTCAGGCCTGATTCTGTAGCATCATGAATTGGTTGCCTGGAGAAGAGAACGTGGGGTTTGCTGGGATTAGGCCAGTCTTCCGGATGGTGACACATACAGTATAAAAAAAAAGATTTCTTTTAGCTTTATATTCTTTGTGGCTAGGAAGGCACAGGGGTTGAGTTATAGCCCCAGCCCTTTCTTCTTTGAGACAAGCTGTCAGTACAGAGCCCTTACTGGCCTTGACCTTGTGGTCCTCATGGATCAGCCTCCCTGGTGCTAGATTACAGTCATGTGCTACCATTTCCGCCCCACACCCCCGGTCCGTACCCCCCTCCTCTTACTAATTTATTTAATGGCATTGTGTGTGTACTCTGGCACACACACATGTGCATGATGCGTGCATACATACCACAATGCGTGTTTGAAAGTCAAGAGGACAGGGCTGGAGAGATGGCTCAGCAGTTAAGAGCACTGGCTGCTCTTCCAGAGGACCCGAGTTCAATTCTCAGCACCCACATGGCAGCTCACAACTGTCTATAGTTCTAATTTCAGTGAATCTGGCACCTTCACACCAACATACATGTGGACAAAACACCAGTGCACTTAAAAAAATAAAACCTTAAAAAAAAAAATGAAAGTCAGAGGACAGATGAGTCAGCAGAGAGGACCCGGGTTCAATTCCCAAAGCCCACATGGTAGTTCATCACCATCTGTAACTCCAGTCCCAGAGGATCTGACATCGTCTTCTGGCCTCCACAGACCCCAGACGTTCACATGGTGCACAGACATAACATGTACACAAAACACCCATACATAGAAGGGAAAATAATAATTGAAACAAAAGAAAGTGTTTAATTATTGGTAAACTCTCCAGAACTCTGATTTTTTATTTTTAAACTTGTAAGTTCAGATTTTATCATTAGGGATGGGAGACTCTGGTTATTTCCTCTGAGGCAGCAAGCTCAGTTAGCTCATTTCCAAGAGAATCTCTGCCAGATACCCAGTTTGCCATACCTGGTCTACTGGTTGATCTTTTAATAACAATGATGATTCACAGAGAGAGAGCCATTACAACTGCCCAGCACCTGGAGCGTAGAGGCCGGGAGAGCAGGGATTTGAGCCAGCCTCTGCTATTTATCAAATCTAAGGCCATCTTGGGCTACATGAGAGACCCTGTCCCAAAAGGAGGGGAAATGAAAAAAGTTAATTCAGCCTATGAAAGAGCCCAGCTCACAGATGAGATAGTCGTACCAGCCGGTCCAGTGACAGTCACCCTGCTTCCTTGATCAGAAAGGGATGGCTTAGGAACCCTGCCCTGTGCGTCTGTCCAAGCCGGGCTTTCATCACTGTTCCCGACCAGAGCAGCGTGTAAGCGAACGCTGAGTATAGAGAAGCTAGTGTGAGAATCCGGGAGTGTGTCCTTCAAATCATGCTGTGATGTAGAGGGTTAAGGACATTCCTGAGTAAATAAAGCTGGTGTTGCGTGTGGTGATGGCTGTTAGCACATTGCTGCCACGATGCCATATTATCCATGCTGCCGTGCGGCAGTTACAGTGCCCTCCCTTTCCTGCAGAAATGTCTCCACAGAGTGGAGATGGCAGAAATGGTACTGTGATACTCCCACTTCAGAAGGCCAGAAAGGGGCTGGAGATTAAGAAGGCTCTCTCGGAAGCCCACAGATCAAATTTGGGAAACTATTTATATGTAAGAGTGTAGGTGGTAGTGTTGTTTGTGAAAGGGGCCATTTGTGTGGATCATGGTTAAATAAATCCGTATCTGTGCAGGGAAACATCACACAGCCACTGAGAAGAACCGTTATTAACTCTAGAGTGTTGAGGGCCTTTGTTTGGTACCCCCCCCCCCCTACCCCTGCTAGAAATCAAATCCAGGGCTTTGGGCATGTTAAGCACATGCTCTTCCGCTATGTAGACAGATGCACACATGCTCCCTAAGACATACTTTTTAAATTTTTTTTTTAACGTGTATGAATGTTTTGCTGTTTGCTTGTATGCATCCTGCATGTGTGCCTAGTGTCCATGGAAGTCAGAAGAGGATGTTTGATCCCCTAGAACTGGAGTTACAGATAATTGTGAGCCGTCACCATGTGGGTGCTGGGAAGTGAATCTGGGTCCCCTGGGAGATGAACAATAGTTCTTAACAGGTGATCCATCTCTGCAGCCCCCCCCCCCAGACATACTTTTAAGGAAAACAAAAGACAAGTTGCAGAAGCAATTTATAGAAATGGTTCTGCTGAACTGCAGATTTCTGAACATATGTAAGGACAGAGCAAGAGGCCAGGGCTGTGCCCACCGTGACCGTGGGAAACAAGTCTGGGGGACACTGGTAAGGAGTGGGAGAAGAACAAGGCTGGAGCCCTTCTGGCATTCATGTAAATCTCCTAACTCAAAGGCTGGGGCTGGGGCGGGGGCTCAGTTGGTAGGGTGCTTGCCTAACATGCACAAAGCCATGGGTTCCATCTCCAGCATGGTTTGAACTGGGCATGATAACACAACCTGTAATCCCAGCATGGAGGAGGATTTGGAAGGTCATCTTCAAATACATGGAGAGATCAAAGCTACCAAAAAGAAATGGTTAGACAATGATAACCAAAGGCTGATTTTTTTTTTTTCATTCTAAAAATACAGGAAAATTGAGTCTCTTTGTTTTGGCAAAGAAAAAAAATAAGTAATAATAACTTGAGACTTTGAATTGAAGCCTTTGGATTCTGAAATGGATGACATTTGTTAGTTAAAGCCTTGATTATTTGGACTTCCCCAATTGGAATGAAGCTGGGCTGGCATTTAGTCATTGTGCTATTCTTAGGGGAAAATGACCATGATAAGCAATTTAATCATAAATAGAATTATCAGAGGCTGTCCTCTTCAATACGATGTTACAAAATTACCACTCAGTGCTGCTATTAATATGCCAATTTGACTATTGTTATTAATTTAGAGAACATTTAGTGAGCAGTATTTTATTTGCTTTGACGTATTCTTGAAATTTATTCTTTAATTTAGATTTACCCTAGTTTAGGTAAACTTTTATGCTTGCCCTTCTTTTGGCCTAGATTAACAATCCCACATTGTGTTAATGGCAGGGCTTTGCAAAACGCAGTCAAGGCTGTGAAAACCCAGCAGAGTCACTTTGGTGTTTGTGATAAAGCTGTTAAATCGTTTGAGGTTTTTATTAATGAGAACATGAAGTTGATGCCTGCTTGATTGCAAACTTCTATGACATGAACTAAATGTTGGTGTCTGTCATCGAGAGCGCTGCATTAAAAGGGGAGTTGTGCTATAATATATCTTGCCATCTAACTAGGGGAACAAGATTAATACATAAGAAACTATTAGAGACTGTTGAATCAGGTACAGAATTAATTGTGAATGTAGCGAGTAGAATTTGAGGTGTCCTGGGGAGTCCATGTGACCCTGTTTGTTTTTCCGGTGTTTTCCATCTTAGGTACATCGGACTGGGTTTGATGCAAAGACCGAAAGCCATTCCTTAGATTCACTCATTAGGAACATGGAGAGTGTACAAATAATCCTAATGTACAGTTAGTAGTAATGCCACCAGATTAGAACTGAAATGGGGGCCGTATGCACAGGAAGTGGACCTGGTGACTCACAGCCTAGAGGGACAGAGAAACAGGCGGCAAAGATAACCAGATGTTTTGAGCCAGAGCCAGTGAACAGACAAGTGTTGGCATTGCCAGATAGATATGAAGAAGTTGGGAGAGACTAATTCATATTCAGCTTGTTGAGTTCACAGACACAGGGAGACACCCGTGGGGACCAGGAGGGGAGGCAAAAGACCACAGAAGCCCCTATTGGGGGCAGGAGGACAGCCAGGACAGTGGAACTTAGCAGAACCCCGAGTGCAGGGAGCAGAGAAGATGGTTGGTCAGTAGGAATCAACTCTTTGCTCCAGTGGAAAGGCACACACCAGGGGCCGGTGTCCTTTTGTTACCATCCATGATGGTTCTCAGTGAGGCTTACGACAGACACCACCGTGGCTGTCCCACAAGTAACCAGCCTGTGTTTCCATCCTTTAGGTGGTATTGGAATGCTATGTCAGAAAGGACTTGGTCTACACCAAAGCCAACCCAACGTTTCATCATTGGAAAGTCGACAATAGGAAGTTTGGTCTTACTTTCCAAAGCCCTGCGGATGCACGAGCCTTTGACAGGGGTGTGAGAAAAGCCATTGAAGACCTGATAGAAGGTACTGGATTTGTCACTGCACCCTTAGAGGGACTGTGGAATATTCCAGATTCTTTTTCATTCCCACGGTCGGCCATCTTATATCCGTGCATGTTTATAGGAGGGTTTGGGACCATTGGAAGATCATGAGATATCGAAACTTTCAGAACACCCTAGGTGAACAGTTGAAGACAGCGCAGGGGAAAGGCGAGGGGTTCGGAGTTGGCCCAGCTGGCTGAGCGTGTACTGGGAAACCAGCTGGCAGCTCTGGGTTTCCGTGTGGGTGTGGGGCTCACCCACTTCACCGGTGCTGACCATCGGAAGGGATGTGCTGCCTGCTCTGGAGATTGTTTTCTGTGTGACGTTAGTCACCGTGTGTAGCACAAAGGGTCCGTTAGAAGAACGTAAGCTGGAGAGACAGCTTAGTGGTTAAAGGCTGTGGCTGCTCTTCTTGCAGAGGATCTGGGTTAGGTTTCCAGCACTCCTCCCAGCACCTAAAAGTTGGCTACTGACCACCAGTAACCCAGGTTCCAAGGAAGCCTCCACAGGCACTACACACATGTGGTACACAGACTTACATGCAAAACACACGTGCGTGTAGTTGGTTTGTTTTTTAAACTTTAAAAGAAACTAAGCCAAGTGGTTATTCACACCTTTAATCCCAGTACTCGGGAGGCAGAGGCAAGTGGATCTCTGAGTTTAAGGCCAGCCTGGTCTACAAAGTGAGTTTCAGGACAGCCAGGGCTACACAGAGAAACCCTGTCTTGGGGGGCGGGGGGCTGATAGAGAGAAAAGAAAAAAGAAACTAAGCCACATATTTCATTTGAAACCTAGGTTAACAGGCTAGAACTCCACAACAAGAATAAATTACTTCTCTTGTGGGCAAATGCACATAAACAGTCGGATTCCTTTTTTCCTTTTTGTTTAATTTTTAAGAACAATAGGATTCCTACGCTATTTCAAGTTACTGTTTAAAATTTTTAAATGTGTAAAGTGCTAGATATTATAGCACTCACCTTTAATCCCAGCACTCAGGAGGCACAGACAGGAAGATCTTTGTGAGTTTGAGGCCAGTCTAGTCTCCATAGCAAGTTCCCGCTGATAGCCAGGAGCCAGGACTCTATAGAGAGACCCTGTCTGAAAAAAACAAAAACGAGACATGTAAAGTGGGGCTCTCAGAAAGCTTAGTGGTTAGAGCACTTGATGTGCGGCCTCACGACCCAGACCCTCCCTGGAGCCTGCAGAGCGGGAGGGGACCTATCCCTGGAGCCTGCAGTCGGGGCAGGAGGGACCCCCTAACTTACCATCTGACCTCCACATGCAATCTCTGTGCTGTAGGCATGCCTGGACATACTCACACACATGCTAATAATAAATAGAACAAAAGTTAAGAAAGTCAAAGTAGAAGGTGCTTTTTTTTATTATTTAAAGAAAGTGCTTTGAAATATATTTACAGTTATCAGTGGCCTCCAGATATTACTAATAGTAATGAATTGTTTTATACAGGAGAAATGTTTTAAGAAAGAGAGCATTTTATTACTGAATTTATGACAGGATTAGAAGATGGTGAAATGGGGCTGGAGAGATGGCTCAGTGGTTTAGGACACTGGTTGTCCTCCACTGGTATCAGGGTTTGATTCCCAGCACCCACATAGTTTCAGGGGATCCTCGTCTGGCCTCCCAGGACACCAAAAACACAATTAGTACACAACCATGTAGGCAAAACACTCCGTAGACATAAAAAAAAATAAGAAGTTTTAAGAAAAGAAGATAGTGAACCGCTGATGTCATGAAGTGGTAATTCAGCCCATTTTTAACTGTTAGGGACTGTGCAGAAACAACACAGTGGATCTGCTGCGAATCGAAAGGGCCCTTTCTGCCCTGTGTGCAGCCAGTGCCCCACGACCAGCCTGGAAAAGCCTTAGGCCACAAACATTCCGACTCTCCACTTCTGCACAGTTCAGTTACAGATCAGTATCTAAGGTGCTGGGACCCTGAGGCATGGTAACACCAAAGTCAGGATTACCACCAAGCCTCGGTACCTGAGTTTGATTCCTGGGACCCCGTGGTGAAGGAAATGACCAGTTTCCACAAGTTGTCCTCTTACCAAGGAATGCCGTGGCATTCTTGTTCTCTCTCTCTCTCTTACACACATACATACACACACACACACACACACACACACACACACACACTTTATGTGTTTTTATAAAGACTGTTTCTCTTTAGGTGCATCTAGTGAACTGACCTCCTCACTCCTGGCTCCTGTTGGTGGGAGAACCTGGGAATGAGGTTAGGGGGTGGGTATTGCTGCCCTGATGTGCAGACTGAATAAAGAAGTGAACAAGAAAGTTGAACTTGAACTACCAGATCATTTCATGATGGGATTAGCTGGGTTTCTAGCAGAAACCTTAATTTTGTCCTGGAAAAAGCAAAGCCAAGTTGTTGGGCTCTTAGTGTCTACTTACACCACAGCTGCCATAATGTGGCCAGGGAGTGCAGGGTCTGAATTCAGAAAGGTGGTGAAGGGGTGGGGGTGGGGGCCAGGGATTAGGACTTCCTCAGCAGGAAGTGAAAAAAGATCAGGGAAATGGAAGCCCAGCTTCTCTGAGGCTGGGTAGGTCTAATGGAGACATCTTTGGTGTTTCCCCTACTCGGAGGAGACCCTGAGGTCACCGAGAGCCTGGGCCTGATTCGAACCTTTCAGAGGAGTAGGGAGGCTCTCTTCACCTCCTCCATGGCCCCCTCCAGTGCAAAAGATGACCTCTGGGGACAGTAGTTCAGTGGTGAGTGCCTCTGGTGTACATGAGGCCCTGGGTCGCGGTCCCTCGTACTGTCAAAATAAAGAAAGGAAGAAAGACAAAATGTGCTTTCAAAGGCTGGGGGTGTGACTCAGTGGTAGATGTGACCCGATTAGCATGCACAAAGTCCTGGGTTCAGTCCTCAGCACTCAAGGAAAACAGAACAAAAACCGGCCGCCACACTTCACACTTTTAGATGATTGAAGTCAGCCATCCACAACTTGATTGATTTAATTACATTCTTGTCTTTTTAGGTTCAACGACCTCATCTTCCACTATTCATAACGAAGCTGAGCTTGGCGATGATGACGTTTTTACAGTAAGTTTCCTTTGTCGTCGTGTCCCCCCCGTCCCCGTCCCCGTGTGCGCCCCCCCCCCCTCCGCCCGGTATTAGATGACTATCTGGGAAGTTGCCCATTAAGGACATTTTGCAATGTGGCATTTGAAGTTGCTTTGTGGCTGCTGTTAGAGGAGACTCCGTCTTCCCAGTGTTTCTCGTTCTGGTCTTGACCTCCTTGCTCAGACTTGCAGTGGTTCGGCCCACCGTGCAGCCCACACTCCCACACCATCAAAGTTCAGCTCCTAAGGGCTACTGGCACATTCAGGGGCCAGCTGCTCTGGTTTGCCCAGGACAATCCCAGGCAGACCAGGACAGTTGGCCCTCCTCCTCACAATTTTCTGCGAACACACTGGTGCCAAAGGAAAGTCAGAAGGCCACCCCCCCACACCTCCTCCGTCCACCGTGCTTGGAGTGGTGAGTGGGTGTCAAGCGGCGTTTGAAGCGTTTTTATTGACCCACAATGAAAAAGGCGTTATGGTGACCCAGCAGGCATATATATTCACATCAGTGGACACTTGAAAGCTAATCTTCATACTGTACTTTGGTTTTGTCTGATTCCCTTCCTGTTTTTTTGTTTTTAATGGAAAGTGTAAAGAGTTGGCGTGGCGACTGCTTGTGTACAGCACCTAGATTCGGTGGACTTGCTAGTTATGTTCCTGTGACTCCCCTAAAGTGTCCTAACAAACGAGACTTGAGGAAGGCAGGGTTCCTCGGGCTCACAGCGTGTGGTGGTTGCAGGCCATCGTATATAGGCCAGATAGTCACTACAGCAGGAGCTTGAGACAGCAGATCATGTTGTGTCTGCAATCCACCGTGAATGTGCTGCTCCCCTAGACATCACCGTCACCCTGGTACTCAGCGTGAGTGCAGGACCCCAGCCAGGAAATGGTGCTGCCCACTTCTCGGGGTGGATCTTTCTTTCTCATTAACCTCATCAAGATAATGCTTCACAGGCACAGCTAGAGGATAACCTAGTCTAAGTACTAGTAGGTACAGTTAGTCTCTGACTAGAGCCTATCAGGTTGACAGTACTTTTACCTTTGTATTTATTGTGTTTGTGTCTGCGTATGGCGGGGGGGGGGGGGGGGGGGGGGGGCATGTATGTCACAGTGTTCTGCGTGGTATCTGTTCTCTCCCACGACCTGGGTCTCCAGGCTTGCGTGGCAAGCACTTCTCTGGAAGACAGTTATCTCACGGGCCAACAATGAGTTGGCCAGAAGAGTGCCAGTGTGTCTTTTTTTTTTTTTTTGGTTTTTCGAGACAGGGTTTCTCTGTGTAGCTTTGCGCCTTTCCTGGAACTCACTTGGTAGTCCAGGCTGGCCTCGAACTCACAGAGATCCGCCTGGCTCTGCCTCCCGAGTGCTGGGATTAAAGGCGTGCGCCACCACCGCCCGGCCAGTGTGTCTTAATACACATACAGAGAGAGATATTTTTTTTTTTAACTAATCCAGTTTAGTGTAAATTCCCCTAATTTTCTTCTTATTGCTTGATTGATTTTTGTGTGTATATGTTTGTTTGTGTGTATGTGTGCCTGTGCATGTACACTACTTGTAGTTGGTGCCCGTGGATGCCAGGAAGGGGGATCCTATCACCTGGAGCTGTAATTAGAGGGGTTGTGAGCCACCCGACGTGGATGCTGGGACCCACACTCACTTCCTCTGGAAGAGCAGCAAGTGCTCTTACCCTCTGACTCATCCCACCAGCCCATCTCCTAATGTCTTTAGCATGCATTCCCATAAGGAGCAATCACAGAGGACTTTTAGGGTGGCTGATCTGTTCTGATGCTCTGATAGTAGACACATGTCATTGTACAGCTGTCCCAACCCATAGAATCTGTAACCGAAGCATAGGGAAAGCTGAGAGTTGGGATCATTTGTGGGTTGTAGTTGGGTTTTTGTTTTGTTTTGAAAAAGGATTTCACTGTGTAGCCCTGACTGACCTGGAACTTGCTTTGTAGACTAGGCTAGCCTTGAACTCACAGATTCGTCTGTCTCTGCCTCCCTAGTGCTGAGATTAATTGAGGGCACCAGCACACCTGGACAGTTTATTGATTTTTAACAAATACATAGTATGGTGGGCAGGCAGCATTGCTAATAGGAGAGTTGCATAGTTTGAGGCAAAGAATGTACAGGGAATCTCAGTACCTTTAGCTCAGTTTTGTTTGTTTGTAAACCTAAAATAAAATAGGAAATAAAGTTGAATGAAGGTATTTAAATATAGCAAGGCCTCTTCTACAGAGAGCACTAAAATTTCAGAAGGTTGTCTGATATCTCCTTTATAATTATCCAGTTGCCCCCAAGACTGCCTATTGTAAGCTGTTATTAATTTGTTTTAGTTTCACATTTTAAAATATGGGGAGTAATTGATTAAATTTGTTTCTCTGCACTTACGGTTTGTGGCCATTGGTGTGAAAGACACTGCTTTGGGACTATACAGGTGTGTAAGCCAAGGCACCAACAATCACAGAACCAATGGTAGGGCTTGCAGAACTGAGTTTGACCCACAGGAAGCCTGAGAACGGGCAGAAGGCAGACGGTGGGAGGTTGTCCCGTCCACCCATAAGACAGGGGTCGGAACACACTTCACTGTGAGGGGTGGCTTCCCTGGCTTCTGCACAGGATTTTGGAAAGGGATCTAGTCTAGGGAGCTCTGGGGCGAAGACGGTAGGAGTGGAGGCTATGGAGCGTCGTGGTCCGGATGTCACAGAAACATTGTGTAGTCGGACCGTCGGGAATGAACTCGGCCGGCCTTCCTTGGAGCGGCTGGGAGACTGGCCGAACAGGCAGATCCTCTCAGCGGTTGGCATGTGCTCACATCTGTTCTTTGGTCACGTTTGGGGAGACGCACAACAGCAGCGAGGTTAAAGGTGGTTTCCTGTGAGCCGGAGCAGAATCGTAATTCGCAGCTGCTTCCCAGCTACCTGCCAGAAGTGATTTATAGACTGAGGCGGGTGTGAAGGGAACAGGTGATAGAAACCTGAATCCTCTCGGTCTCGTCCTTTAAGCCGCACTCTGGGAACGGCTGACACTGGGTTAAAGGTGCCCTCGACAGACTGCATTCCGTGTAGACCTGGTGGATAGGGTCACTGTTTACAAACACAGGCCTATTTATAACAGTACCTCCCTTCCCCAGGAAAGGCCCATATTAATTCCCAGGCTGTTGGCTGTGGGAAAATAGGAGATGGGGGGAGGGCAGACATGCCACATTCCTGTTCATTGACCAGCTAGCTCACTGTAACTAGACATTCCGTCCCAAGACAGTAAAGGAGTGTGAGCCAAGGAAGCGAGCAGCCACTTCACAGCCTGAGTTCCACACTTCCCAAGTGGGTAAAGTGTTCTCAAACTGGTTTTGGAAGACAAATGTTTAGAGCTTGGAATTCCTGTCACAAAGGGTATAAACGCTGCTGAGTGCCCCCCTCTTCTGATTCTTGAGAGTTACGACTGTTTTCAGAGGTTACCGCTTGCATTCGGAGCCCTCAGAGTTGTGACCGGAGATGTCAAGCATGTGTGTTTTCTGTCTCTGCCATTGGAGCCAGAGGTCTCCCTAGTTCTTAGGATTCCTTGGGGTTTGGGGGACACAGGGTGCTCTGGACACCATGGGTGCTTAGGAGCCCGCACATGGCTGAACTTCACACTGGGGACACCAAGGGTTCACATGTTGCAGTTTAGTCCCCAATGTGACGGTGTTGGTACTTGGTGGAGTCTTTCAGAAACGGGGCCTGCTAGGAGGGGTTAGGTCCCTGAGGATGCTCCCCTCAGAGAGTAACCTGTTCTGTGGAGTGCTTACGTGACCTTGTGGGCTCACAAAGCAGTGGCTCTCTCAGCCCCGACACTTTTCAAACGGTCATAGTGATCCCTTGGAATCAACTTGTCCTAGTCACGTCTCAAAATGAGAAACGGGACTGTCTTCCTGTGGGAAGGTACCTGTCTACATTCTTGTCATCTGCCAACGTTGTCTGCTCTCCCTGTCCCCCACTCCTCCTAAGCCTGTCCCCTCCGTTTCATTACCCAAGCCTGTGCCTGTCCACGTCTCTCCTGTCAGAGGCCCCACCAGAAATTCTTGAATAGCTACTGCTCTGTGTGAGTTTTTGTTATTTATTCTAATTCTTGGGTTGTTTTTTACTGTGGTGTGTGTGTGTGTGTGTGTGTGTGTGTGTGTGTGTGTGTGTGTGTGTGTGGTGTTGTTTGAGACAAGGTCTCACTCAGTGAGATTATACAGGTGTGTAAGCCAAGGGCCAGTGATCACAGTAGCAGTTGATTGAATCCTGTGCATTCAGGGGGTCCACTGTGAGGCTACTGTTTTAGTTTGGGTTCTATTGCTGTGAAGACACGCCATGACCATGGCAATTCTTATACAGGAAAACATTTAATTGGGGCTGGCTTCTCTAGGTTCAAAGGTTTAGTCCACAATCAGCATGGTGGGAATTATGGCAGCATGCAGGCCAACATGGCAGTGAAGGAGCCAGGAGTTCTGTGTCTGGATCGGCGGGCAGCAGGAAAAGAGAGACACACTGGGCCTGGCTTGAGCATCTGAAACCCCAGAGCCCACCCCAAGTGACACACCTCCCCCAACAAGGCCATACCTCCCAATGGTGCCAATCGCTATGGGCCTATGGGGACCATTTTCATTCAAACCACCACAGCCACCAAGTAAATAATAGCACATTAAAAGTAGATGAGTGAGCCCGGTGTGGTGGCGCACGCCTTTAATCCCAGCACTTAGGAGGCAGAGGCAGTCAGATCTCTTGAGTTTGAGGCCAGCCTGGTCTACAGAGCAAGTTCCAGGACAGCCAGGGCTAAACAAAGAAACCCTGTCTGGGGGTGGGGATGGATAGATAAATGATAGGCACTAACTCAGAGATGTGTAGAGCTGTAGGCATGCCTCTGCCTCAGCAAGATCTTGATTGCAGAGGGTGGTGAATTCATCAGCTCTAGCCACCTTGTTTCTGAGAAATAAAGTAGCTGTGTATGGTTTTACAG